ATTCTTCATTATAAAATATTATAGTCAATTATTGTAATAATAATTGGTAGTCAATTTTTTTAGATTAAAACTCCATTTGGATTTTTTAACATTGTAAAAGTGGTAATTCGAGTATAAAAAAATTATTTGCAATTAACATTTGTTACAGTAAACATTATGTCATATGACATTTTTATAAACATTAAAAAATATATTTTATGGTAATTTGAGTTAATAATGGTTCGAGAAAATAAAGTTTTGCATAACATAAATATTTTAATAAGTTACCTTTTGAAAAATTCAGCATTTGAATAAATGACAACTAGATAATATAGAATATATAACAATTTTACCAGTTGAATTTTCATCTTCTTCAGGATTACACGGGTTTCAAATTATTCAACATTATAATTTTGATTAAACTTTTATAGTAACTGTAACATTTATCTATTACTCTTCTTCAAAAAAATTATTTTATTTAAATAAATTATATTTTATTACATTTAGACTTAACATATTAATGTCAGAAGCCATTTAAAAAAGTCCAAGAGGATTCAAGGCGGGGAAAGAAGTGATTTTTGTTTTTTAATTGTAATTCCGGGATTTTTGGAAAATCTACGACAAAAAATACAAAATCACTGCTTTCCCCGCCTTAGATCCTCTTAAAATCTTTTTAAAATTGCTTCTGATATTAAAATAAATATTTTTCAAAAGAAAAAAATTGCTTCCAAGTCAAGAAAATTAATTAAACTAAATAATTAAAATAAATTAATAACTTACTTGAAATTTCGGAATTTTCGTCAAATCTGTGACAAAAAAAAATTCAAATTCACTGCATTCCCTGTCTTACATCCTCTTGAAATTTTTTCTAAATGGTTTCTGACATTAAAATAGATAATCATGAAAAGAAAAAAATTGCTTTCAAGGCAAAGAAACAATAATTTTGGTTTTAGTTGAAATTTCGTGATTTTTAGAAAATCCGTCACAAAAAATACGAACTAATGTTTCCCCATCGTTTACATGAACAATTTTATTAAGAAAAATTTGTATCCTGAACTTTTCAGAGAAACATTTTTTCGTTGAATCAACATTGTTAACTTCAGTTTCATTTTTACTATATACAGATAAAATTTCTTTCATTAATTTATCGGGACGTTTTAGACTCTAAATATTTTATCCGGCTGACCGGCTATTTAGTTAGTATTTTACTAGCCGGACGTTTAGACCCAGCTGTGTTATGCTGCAAAACGTCCGGCTAGACAGTATCCGGACGAATTTATTGCGTCCGGCTAACAGTACCCGGACAAATTTTTTTATCCGGCTAGTCGGACGTATAGACGCAGTGAATTTATTTTCTTAAAAAGGTTACTTTCATACAATTCTCATCGACTTTCAACGTGTAAATAGAGTGATGTGAAATTGGTCGGTTAACTTCAAGTCCTAAAATTAACCTTTTTAAGTGAATAATATAAAAAATTAATTTTTTAAAAACGAAGCAAAACACATACGTCAAATTTTAGTATTGAGTAAATTATATTACTTTTAAGCTATACGGAGAAGATTGAAATTTTAGGAGCTTTGAGAAAAAAGTAACAGTCTTCAGAAAATCGGAAAATTTTTTTGTGAAAAAAATTTTCGATTTCGCTTTAGTAATTAAAAATAATATATTTTCATAGTAATTGCTTCGATTCCTGATTCACTATCAAATGATTTATGCTTTTGGTAAGTTCTGTTATATGACATAAAATAATTATTGAATAAAAACGATTTTAAAAAAGTGCAAAATTTAAGGTTACAAAATAACACTCTGAGAGGCCAACTTTTGATTAATAATAAAATTTAAAAAAATAAAATTTTCGGAATAATATTGTGGTTAATGGAATCAAGAAGTCTTTTAGTTTTACATATTTTGAAACTAGATTTTATCAAAATATAGCCGCAACAACCCCCAGACGAAAGTCAGTGGAGTGACCCAAATAGTTTATTTCCACTATTACCATATGTCTACTATATGTCCACCATTTGTCCACTTTAAAAGTGGACATATAGTAAATCCAAATCTGGCAGGGCAGTCATTGACAAATTAAGTAAGTCTTTAAGGGGATGGTGGGTTACGATGGCTTTTTGTTACGACTAGTAGAAACATTGGTGCTAATGTATGTAACAGTGTCTGACATAAAAAAAATGGTGGGGTTTTAATTTGCAAAAGAATTTTAGGTTATGCTTATGGGAAAAAGATTCGTGATGAAAAGTTAGCTTTGTATTCGAGATTTGAAGTTATAAAAATTGTTTCTATCTGTAAATAAATAAACGCATATTTTCCCGTTGTAAATTGATGCACATAAATTACATGTACATAAAAAATATTTTTTTTGCAAAAAAATAAAATTTTGTTAAGTTCATAAATATTGTTTATTATTTCATCTAGGGTAAGTGCGTCAATTGCTGCGGGTGCTTCAGTTTCTGCGGCATTTTAATAATTTAAGTGAATACATTTGTTCAGGGCACAAATAATTTTGAAATTTTTTTAAAAAATTACTTAACGATGTAAGTTTTAAAATAGATATAGGAAGTATATACCAAAACTTAATATTTATGTATTTTATTTTAATTAAAAGTTGACGTGTGCAAGGTTTTATTTATTTTCATTGCTAACTTTGCTGGTGGTGCAAAAATACCTACATAAAAAGGCTTTATTATTGTTTTTAGACTTAAAGTGGTTATTATTATGATGATTTTAGATAAAGAAAACCTTGTTTTAAAAGAAAAATTAAACTTTACTTTATTTTTGTCTGTTATTATATTTTATTTTTAAGAGTAGTAATTAACACAGAATTTGGGCTTGATTTAATTTCTGCGCCCTCAGAAAATCAACTAAGACTGGTTACAATAGACTATCTATTTTGAAAAAGAGCAAGAAAAAATTATGAAAATGAAAGAAAAAATGAAGATTATGGAGGAAAAACTAAAGAAAATTTAATAAATACATAAATTAATTAAGGAAGAATTCTGTTATTAAGTTTTAACTAAATGTTTCAAAAATGTGATAATTCAGAAATTATTTGTTACTTTTGTTAATATATGATATATATTTATTTTTAATAAATATATATTCTATTCAATTAAACATTGATTAAAATCATTGTCCCATTTTGATTTCATAGTAGTTTGCGGTATTATACACATAAGCACAAAATTATGCGCAGAAACTGACCCACAGGAATTGAATTCGCGCAGCAACTGATGCGCAGCAACTGACTCAAACGCGCAGAATTAAACGCATTGAATATTATTTTTAATTCATTAAATTTATTAAAATAAATTATATTTTAGAGATGTTATTTATTGTAAACATATCTTAATAACACAAACTACAAATTTAATAAGACATAAGTTCAATTTGATGAATATAAAAAATATATTTTATAGTTAAAAGACGTCTTGACCAAAATACCGCAGGAATTAGTACACTTACCCTATTTTCATTAAAATAAATTATTTTTATAAATTAAAAAAATCAGAAATGTAGGGCATGCAGCCTGCAGGCACGCGGGTGCCTGTCAACAGGGGCTGGCCATAAGCCAGGCATTTTGCTATCTGGGCAGTTGCCTAAAAGTTTTTAATTACATTAAATAATACTAAATTTACAGGAAAAATATTTAAAAACTCTTTTATAGAGTTCTTTCGAATATCTAATATTTTATGAAAGTGAGAAATTATTTATATTATGCCAGTAAATCAGTGAAATATTGTTTTCAAATAACTCTCTTAGTGCAAGATGAATTTACACTTGTACTCATATAGCGTATAAAAATGGCTCAAAATATAGTTTTTAAATTATTTTATTTAAAAAGAATTTTTGAAGCATAAAATTAGATGTATTTTCTTCAGTGGAATTCATTTATTTACCTTTTTTAACCAAATTAAAATTTTTAACTTTATGGAAATGCCCTAAATAAAAATAATTATTAGTACCTAAAATTATTTTTAATAATAATTTTCCAAACAAAAAATTCTAGAATTTAAAAGTAAAGTTTTTCCAAATTAAAAATTAATTTGTAAATAATTCAAACTGAAATTAAAAAATTTTCAAAAATCGAGTGTTAAAAGTCACTGTTATAATTATTCAGTCGAAATCTGATAATTAAATTCACATTATGGCGTCAATTATTATAGGGCTACACGGAGAGAAATTTATAGTAGTGGGTAACATAATTGTGGTTAGGGTGACCATCTTTAAAGCTACGTATACAGACAGCTATCTAGATAGTCACCGTTACCATCAATATCATCAGGAGTAACATCTTGGTAGTACTGGGTAGCATAACTATATTTTTTTTAGCATCTGTGATGGTTGGCAGTAGCATAATGATAGTATCGTGTAACATCATCTTTTTAACATCAAAATCTGACTATCCATTTCTCTCAGTGTAAGCACAACTACTTCGCGAATGTCATTATACCTCGAATGCATTGCATGTCGTTCGCGAACGACTTTCGCGAACCAATTGTGCGTTGGACTTATTTGTCAGGTGAACATTTTGACAGAAAATCATTGAAGGATATTTTTTTCACAAATTTTCATTTACAGAGAAAAACACAACGGTAGGAGGGTAAATTTTCCCAAAGAGGGCTTTCTCGCAACTACCACACGAGGTCCTTTTGTAAACGTTCTTCAAAGTTTGAATTTTTTTTTCTTCTTTTACATTTCTGCCCATCAAAGTTCAACACCAACAAATATTCACATTTGCCAACACTTTTATAATTCATTTCGATGACTTATTGCGAATTATATTTTTCTTGAACAGCTTCGGACTACTCGATATTTTTTGTACGTTTACAATTGTATTTAGGTATATATTGAATATTCAAAAATTATTCATCACTTGTGAGAAATAGGTTGAAAATCTCGAAATTGCTAGAGGGAAAAAAAAGAAATTATTTTGAAGAAATGAAGAAGAATAAGATTTTCTTGAAACTAAATATTAAGAGTATTTGAAATTCGAATTTAATTGTTTCAGATTTGCAGTGCAGTGCAAAATCAGGATTTTACTGTAATAGATGATTATATAACTGGACTGAAGGCGCTTTTATATTTACAAAATTTGGATCAAACGAAGAATTGGGATGGACAGAGTCCTCCAACATTGAAGCATCAGAAAGGAAAACCTGTTTCTCTTACACATGCACTGGGAGAAGTATTTTCACGTTTCAAAATTTAGATTTTTTAACCCCTTGGCTGTCAACGAGATTTCCACTGTTTGGGCCAAAAGTGCATGTTGAAAAAATGTTTAATGGATTTTTATGAAACTTGGTACCTTAAGGTTTCTGGGGTCGCTGATTACGAATCTGAGATCAGTTTTTCGAAATTCAAAATGGCGGATCCAAGATGGCGGAAATTTTTTCAAAATTTGTCGAATTTGCTTGAAACTGGTTACTCGGAGGTTTAAGGGTTGCTGATTACGAATCTAACATTAGTTTTATAAAATTCAAAACGGCGGATCCAATATGGCGGACGACAAAATAAAAAATTAATTATACCCAACGGGAAGTTGCCAATGGTAACGATTGGTTCAATAGTGGGCCATGCTTGGTGCCCAATGGTTTTTTCTTGGCCAAACAATTGGCAACCATCATTGGACCACCATTTGTTTTAGCTTAGGATGATCACGCTACTGCCAATGATCGGTAGCCAAGCATCGGGCCAATATTAGTTGCCAAGGAATTGCAAAAGCATTTACAGGCATCCCTCCATTGTGAGATATACGGTGAGGGAATTTTTATCAGTCTTTCACCTTTGTTTTACCAGAGGTGAAAAATTAAATAAATATGTTCTATTAATTAAAAAAAATATTTAAAAAAAATATATTTTTGAAACATATTTTTTTTTAAAATAAATTTTAATTAATAATTAAAAAAATCAATTTTCAAAACCTTGGTTTTTTGTTAGCTGCCAATAAAAAATCAAGCTTTTGAAAATTGATTTTGTTTCCTTGGCAATTCCTTGGCAACTAATATTGGCCCGATGCTTGGCTACCGATCATTGGCAGTAGCGTGATCATCCCAAGCTAAAACCAATGGTGGTCCAATGATAATTGCCATTAATGTTCCAATGATGGAACGGAGTTCGCCAAGCATGGCCCATTATTGAACCAATCGTTTACTTCCCATTGGGTAGTGGCTTGAAACTAAATACTCGGGGGATTTTAGGGTCGCTGATTACGGATCTGACATTAGTTTTTCAAAATTCAAAATGGCGGATCCAATATATCGGAAATTTTTGTTAACTGGTCAAATTCGCTTGAAAATAGTTACTTGGGGATTTTCAGGATCGCTGATTACAAACCTGAAATCAGTTTTTTAAAATTCAAATTATCTGATTGAATATGGCGGAAATTTTTTTCAAATTTATTGAATTTGTTTGAAACTGGTTAATCTGACACCAGTATACTAATTTTTTGTAAAATCAAATTTCGTTAAATACCCTGACATTAGCTGGTGAATTTAATTTTTATAGTTTATTAAATTTTTTAAATTCACGTCCCCAGAATATATTACGAGGAGGCTGCCATAGGATTTTACATTCTATTTTCTTATTTTTTGAAAATTGTTATACATTTAAAAAAATTTTTTTTTATATACTAGATTATATACTAGACGCGTCGTTGCATGCAGCTACCCTGCTGGAAGTAAAGGGATAGAAATCCTATCTCTTTGAATATTTTTTTATCTCTGAGATAGAAAGAGATAAAGTTTTTCTATCTTAGTCTATCTCCATTTTATCACTTCAATCACTTTTTATCTCTTCTTCTGTATCAATTTTTTTCAATAACCTTTATTTCATCTCTTTTAATACTTTCAATATCCACACCTATCTCTTCCTATCTCTAATTTCATTTAAGAACATACTTATCTCTTTTAATATTCTTGTTTCTAATCCAGGTTATCCTTTTTTCATTCCTCTCAATCTCTTTCTATCTTTCCTTTTTTCAATCTTTTTTAATAACTCTTACTTTATCGCCTTTTATCCTTTTACTATTCACTTCATTCCCTTTCTATCCCTACCCAGTAAAAAAAAAAGTATTCAGAATAGAGAAAAAGTATTGGTGGAGACGTTCGGTGAATGCGTTTTCGCGACAAAACCGTATTGGTGGGTCACGGTGAATACATTTCGCTTACCGTGAATACTTTTTTTTTAAACTCTCGATTTAAAGATTCCTAAGCAAAGTTGAGAATATTTATAAAGAGCGTAAGTGATCTGAAGTATAAAAATGACGATTGCGAGAAGGAAATAAGAAATTTTGAGAAAAAACGAAAAATTAAATGTGACAAACCTACAGCGTATGATGATGAAAAGGAACATTGACGATACCGACAGAAACTTGAGAAATCCAAGTAAATGTATGTGAAACAGTAAGTTCCGCCGGTAACGTCAAAGTTCCTTTTAATCATCATACGTTGTAGGCACAGAAAAGCATATGGTAATTGATCAACATTTGACAATCTGTTTGTCACATTTAATTTTTCGTTTTTTCTCAAAATTTCTTATTTCCTTCTCGCAATAGTCATTTTTATACTTCAGGTCACTTACGCTCTTTATAAATATTCTCAACTTTGCTTAGGAATCTTTAAATCGAAAGTTTTTAAAAAAAGTATTCACGGTAAGCGAAATGTATTCACCGTGACCCACCAATACGGTTTTGTCGCGAAAACGCATTCACCGAACGTCTCCACCAATACTTTTTCTCTATTCTGAATACTTTTTTTTTTACTGGGTATTTAAATCTCAGTTCATACTTGTATCTTTTTATCCCTTCGGTTCTATCAGAGTCTAGCTCTTTTCTATTAGAATAAAAAAATCCTATTACAATTTTTTTAAAAACAATTAGTTAACAATCCAATTTTTTACAAATCCTATCTCCTTGAATATTTGTTTATCTCTGAGATGGAAACAGATAAAGTTTATTTCTTTTAATCTATCCCCATTTTTATTACTACTATCGCTTTCTATCTTCTCATCTTCTCAATCTTTTTGAATAACATTTTTCTTATCTTCTTCAATACTTTTCCTATCTACTTTCTTCCTTTTCTGTCGTTACTTTAATATAAGAAAACACTGATCTCTGCTTATGACCTTCCATTATCCCAGACTTTTCCTTTTTTAATCCCTTCAATCTCTTTTTATCTCATCTTTTTTCTCAACCTCTTCTAATAACCCTTATTTTATCTTTTTTAATTCTACTAGCTTGGCTGAGTGACATGTGTATTCGACTTGCGTCCCTAAGGTTCAGGGTTCGAGCCCTCCTGCATGCGAGATTTTTCAAATTTAGGTTTAAGTGTTATGTGTACAATGTTAGTTAACAATGTGAAATGAAATATAGATTTAAACAAAAAATAATAATTTCATAACAAATAAATAAAAAAATCATAAAAAATCATAAACTTGATTTGTGAAAAATAAGTTATAAATAGAAGTACGAAAACTCTAAAAATATTTTTTTTAAATAATAAATTCAATTGAAATTGTAATACTTTATAAAGTCTTTAATATTGTTAATAATATTGGTTAATTAATTCTTTATATATTAAAAAGGATAAAAATTTGCAGCAAAGATAAATAAAAAGAGATAAAAGTATATAGGTATAAAAAGGGATATAAATTTGGAAATAAAAAGGTATAATATTTTGGGTATACAAAGTGGCTATTTTAATAAAAATTGAAATATTTTACAACAAAATAAAGTTAACGCAATTCTGAAGTTACTACTGTAAAACATTACAAAAATTAATGTATATGCTCCGAAATTTTTATTTTTTGTAAACTACTATCATATTCGTAATTAGAGATCCCAAGAACCTCCGAGTAATTATTTTCAAGCGAATCCGATGAAGTTTTGAAAAGTGTCCGCCATATTGGATTCGCCATTTTGAATTTTTGAAAACTATTATCATATTCGTAATCAGCGACCTTAAAAACCCCCGAGTAACCAGTTTTAAGCGAATCCGATGAAATTTTGAAAAAATGTCCGCCATATTGGATTCGCCATTTTGAACTTTTAAAAACTATTATCATATTTGTAATTAGCGACCCCAAAAACCCCCGAGTAACCAGTTTCAAGCGAATCTGTGAGGTTTTTAAAAAAGTGTGCACTTGCTGTATATTATTTATTAAAAAGTCAAATTTGAACGCCATTTTTGATCCGCCATTTTGTTTTTTTCTAATTTTTATTTTACAACATTTTAGGTTAGACATTTTTGACGCGATATTTTTACCTTTGAGACGTATTCCTTCGCCATAAATAATAAAAAAAATTTGATTTTCAAAAAAAAATCTTTAAAAATTGTGTTTTTTTTTAAATAACTGTATGTAATTTGTTTATTTATAAATTTTCAATATTTGTTATTGCAGCATTCGAAAGAGCGGTTCCTGAGCTTTAAGAAATGTCTATTGCAAATTTTTTAGCAATCCGTTTTCATACTAAAAATTTCTCCCAAAGTTCGGATAAAATTTTTGTACATTTGGTCCTTAAAGGGTTAAAGGGATCGAAAAATCTTTATCTCTTTTTATTTCCAAAATTCTATCTCTTTCTATCTTTTTACTTCCAGTAGGGTACGTTGTGACAACCCTGATCGCGAGATTTGATTTAAAATGTGATGAGAATTTACTTTAAATGCACGGGTTCGACTCGCGACGGAGAGCACAATGTACACTCACACAATTCTCAATAAAGATTCTTTGGGTGGAGTTACAGTGGCAGAGAGCGAGAGAAAGAACGTCCGCAAGTACTATGAAGCAATGGCCATGTGAAAGAGATGGACTTACCGGTGACGCTGGCTCTCTACTATGATTGGAAAAATAATCCACAATTATCGACAACAGACACTTATAAGGAATTCACTAATTTCGCGACAAACAATTTTAATAGAACAATATAAACTTTATTAATAAACAATAGTAAAATACAAAATGGTAATACAATCGCGACTATTACACTATTTCGTGTGTCTCTAAGCGGTGCTCGCAACAATCTGCCGGTTAGCGTCGTTTTTGCCTTGCACGCGGTTTTGTCGTTTGCTCTATCAATTTTGAAAAGTATCGTATCGATTCATACGCCGCAAGGTCGATAACCGATAGTTAACAATCGAATATCGAACATCGACATTTGAATCACGGATAATTAAGTCACTGCGATTAAATAATTAATTCGGTTCGTTACAACGTAATACTAAAACCCCCAAGTAACTTTCAAGCCAATCCAATTAATTTTTTACTTTGTCGTCCGCCATATTGTATCAGCCATTTTGAATTTTTAAAAACTGATTTCAGTTTCGTAATCAGCAACCCAGAAAATCCCCGAGTATTCAGTTTCAAGTCAATCTGATCAATTTTTTTATTTTGTCATCTGCCATATTGGATCCGCCATTTTGAATTTTAGAAAAATAATGTCAGATTTGTAATCAGCTACCTCAAAAACCCCCAAGTATTCAGTTTCAAGTCAATCTAATCAATTTTTTTATTTTCTTGCCTGCCATATTGGATCCAACATTTTTAATTCTGAAAAGCTAATGTCAGATTCGTAACCAGCGACCCTAAAAACCCCCAAGTATTACGTTTGAAGTCAATCTAATCAATTTTTTTATTTTGTCGTCCGCCATATTGGTTCCGCCATTTTGAATTTTTATAAACGAATATCATATTCGTAATCAGCGACATCAAAAACCCCCGAGGAACCGGTTTCAGGAACATTTAAGAAGTTTTTAATCACCTTTTTAAGTTGCGCATATATGCGTCATGAACACTTTTGGCCAGTCTTAGTTTTGCGCATATCATCAGCGTCAGCGACAGTCAACGGGTTAGATTTTAATTTTTTAAATTGAGGAAAATTTTTCTATTTCGGAAAATTAAAGAATAAAAAGTTAAAAATGAAAAATTTCTTTTAAATTAACAATAAGAAATTAAAGAATAAAAAATAAATGTTCTCTAAGGATAGAAATAAGAACTTTAGTAAAAATTAGATTAAGTAAGTTTTCTAAATAGAATTTGGAATATTTTTTTAATAGGTAATTAATTATTAAATTTTAGAAAATTCCATATTTTGGAGAATATCAGAAACTCCGGGAGGAAAAGATAGCTGAAATTAAATTGCAATCAAATCCATTATCTTTGGATGCAGAAATAACTCAATCGGATACGAAGACAAATGGTCCAGTACAGAAAATAGAAAACATAATTGGAAAAAGTCTTCCTCACATTGGAGTTTACAAAAAATTAGACAACAACCAACAAGTTGTCGCTCTCATTGACGACGTATGTGATAGTTTAACAATATTTTACACAATAATTGCTAAAATATTAACAGAATTAATGGTTAATTTTAGTGTAATTAATTTAGTGAATAATAGTAATTAATATAATATAGTAAATAAAATCAAATAATAAATCAAATAACGAGAAATTTATTCAAATTTTTTTTAAATAGGTAATTGAATTGTTTTGAAGAATTTTTTGAAAATAATGGAGTTTTTTTAATAAATAATAATAATTAATAATAATAATAATTTTTTTTAATAACTAGCAAATGTTACGCGCGCGAAAAGCGGTATTCCATTTATTATTATAGTGCAAATTAGAAAATTTGTTAATTTCAAATATAAGGGAATATCTCTATAACCTTTAACGAATTATTTTTAACGTGCAACAAAAAAATATTTAACAGGTGTTTGTTTTTTAGAATCGAAAACAGTTGAAAGTAATTACACTACCGTCCAATAGTATCAGGACGATTACATTCGACTCTATGAAAAAACATGCCATCACTTTTTCAATCATAACTCGGAAATAAAAGGAGGTACAAAAAAAACTTAAATGTGGTTAGAAAGCTGATTAAATTCTGCGTAAAATAAGCCATCTTTGAAGTCATTTCGTTAATTATTTTTTAAGTTGTAGAGTAAGAAACAAATAAAAAAATTTATCAAATTTTCTCATTTTTGTCTCTGACTTCAACTTTTTCAAAAATCTAGAAAAATTTAGATAAAATTTTTCTAAAAACACAGAAATCTTTGTTAGAATTTCAGCTTTAAAATAAGCCTTCGAAAATTAAAAAAGGTTAATCCGTCTTCGATATATCATTAAAAATGTGAAGCCGTGTTTCGACCGATTGGTGCATTGAAATTAAACGGTGACGACTCGATTCTGGCTTCGCGCGGCAGCGAATGAGAGAGAAAACAGGGACGAATTTTTGCTGGAGAATAATAAATAATTATGTTTCACGAGTAATATAAAGAAACTCAAAAGTTCATCGTTCCCCCGCATCAATTCGTCCCTGCTTTCTCTCTCATTCGCTGCCGCGCGAAGCCACAATCGAGTCGTCACTGTTGAATTTCAATGCACCAATCGGTCGAAACACGGCTTTACATTTTTAATTATACATCAAAGACGGATTAACCTTTTTTAATTTTCGAAGGCTTATTTTAAAGCTAAAATTCTAACGAAGATTTCTGTGTTTCTAGAAAAATTTTATCTAAATTTTTTTAGATTTTTGAAAAAGTTGAAGTCAAGAGACAAAAATGAGAAAATATGATATTTTTTTTTTATTTCTTTCTCACTCTACAACTTAAAAAATAATTAACGAAATGACTTCAAAGACGGCTTATTTTACGCAGAATTTAATCAGCTTTCTAACCGTATTTAATTTTTTTTTGTACCTCCTTTTATTTCCGAGATATGATTGAAAAAGTGATGGCATGTTTTTCCATAGAGTTGAATGTAATCGTCCTGATACTTTTGGACGGTAGTATAACTAAGGGGTTATAATTTATAATAATAATTATATTATTATATAATATATTACTTTTATATTTATTATATTATTTTACTAGTCATTAACATTACTTTTCTCTTATTTTGCTTCCTCATGAGGAAGCTTTGCATTCGTGACGATTTTCAATTTTTCAAAAGAAGGTTATACCCTACTGAAAATCCCTGTATATGATCTTGTACAAGAAAATGCATGTACATGTACATGAACTTGTACAAGATCATATACATTTTCTTGTACACTGCAAAAACTGGCGTCTTTGAAACGTCTTATTTTAAGACATTAGACGTTTTGAAAACGTCTAGTCTGGAATAAATGACTAATTCATCTGTCTTTCATGCAAAGAGTCTAAAAATTTGAGACACTTCTTGCGTCTTACAAATGTAAACAAGTCACTTTCAGTGCTTATAATTTAAGACATATAATGTAGACGGTAAAAGTGTCTATATTTAAGTCATTTTTGCTAATTTAAGACGTTTCCGAAGTAAGACACTTTGAATAAAAGACATTTTGTGTATTCGAGTATCTTCGGTAATATTCGTCTTGCCTCGTCTCGATGAAAGTTTCCCGCGCAATATCAATGCATACATGCATTTTTAGGTTATGTATCGATTCAAGCAGTAAATTTCATCTGAATGAAGACACTTTAAACGTCTCCAAAATAGTCACTTTTAACGTCTTCCTAAAAGACATCCCAAAACGTCTTACAAATGAGGACAAAAGTGTCTCAAATATAGACACCTGTTTTTGCAGTGTACTAGTTTCTTTTCTTGTACAAGTACTTGTACAAGTTCCAATACAAGAACTTGTTTCAAATCCTTATACAAGAAATTGTACATTTTCTTGTACAAGTTCAGCTGCTGAACGTGTGCATTTTCTTGTACAAGATCTTATACAGGGATTTTCAGTAGGGTATGGACTCATTTTCATCTAGAACATATGGGCAATTCCACGTGAGATTTAAGTCGACCTCTTAAAATCGGCCAAAAATATTTTTTTTTTATTCTGTATAAAAAAAACAGATACGTATTTTTTTATTTATGTTTAATTGTCCAAATTTTCCAGTTATGAATTTTCGAAAATTTGGACTTTTAATTGTACACCTATATTCAGTAGCTTATAAGTCCGAAAATATTGAGTTTAGGAAAAAGTTGTCAAAGAATGAAAGTTTTAGTTTTCTTTCGACTTTTAAGAAATGTAAACAAAAAATTTTTTTTAAAATTTTTTATTAAAAAAAAATTTTTTTTATAAACAAATTAATTTTTTTTAACTTTGGCCCGGATTTTTTTTATTTTTTTGTACCTTATAATATAGAGAAGATTTTTCAAAAAGTCCCGAAATGGGCCTGATGTGTTAAATGAGTTTTAAAATATTTTCAAAAATCACTTTCAAGCATCACAGTGGGATTTTTTTTACATTTCACTTTTTAAAACTGTTTACAGCGTAGACCTTTTCATTTAAAACAAAGAACACTCAAATATATTAAAAATTATACCTTGTAGACAGTTTTAGAAAGTTAATTGTAAAAAAATCCCACTGTGATGCTTGCAAGTGATTTTTGAAAATATTTTAAAACTCATTTAACACATCAGGCCCATTTCAGGACTTTTTGGAAAATCTTCTCTATATTATAAGGTACAAAAAAATAAAAAAAAATCCGGCCCAAAGTTAAAAAAAATTAATTTGTTTATAAAAAAAAATTTTTTGTTTACATTTCTTAAAAGTCGAAAGAAAACTAAAACTTTCATTATTTGACAACTTTTTCCTAAATTCAATATTTTCGGACTTATAAACTACTGAATATAGGTCTACAATTAGAAGTCCAAATTTTCGAAAATTCATAACTCGAAAATTTGGACAATTAAACATAAATAAAAAAATACGTATCTGTTTTTTTCGATACAGAATAGAAAAAAAATATTTTTGGCCGATTTTAAGAGGTCGACTTAAATCTCACGTGGAGTAGCCCATATGTATATTCAATTCTGAGCAAATGTCCAGATGTATGTGTGTGTGTATGTCACAAAAAATTGTGTACAAATTATCTCAGACAAATTTTGATGGATTGTCCTGAAATTTTTCAGGTTTATTGCAGTCATTAGTACCTAAAATCTGACACAAGGATTTTCAAAAATATCTACAAAAATTTTGTTTATAAAATTATTTAAAAATTTTAGAAAATTTTTTTTTTTTTGTATTTTTTGAAATAATTTTTTTATCTGTTAATATTTTCATTAATTATTCTCAAAATTACATTCCTGACAAGAAAACGAATCGATTAATGTATACAAAGTATATATTTTATCAAAATTTATAAAAGTAATAAATATTTTTCTTTTTCACAAAAAATTCAACTTTTGTAATTTTTTCATAATTTATTTAATGTTAATATTAATATTTTGAAATGATTATTCTGTCATAAAAAAGAAGCAATTGGCATATGAAAGTGTAAATTTTGCCAAATATTTATGTATTGAGAAAGCTAAATGGTCATGAAATGAACAATTTGTTTTGTTTGAATTACTAAAAAATTAAAATGGTTTTTATTTTAAAAATAAATTTTGAATAAACTGAATTGTAAAAATATGAAATTATAATGTATAAAGTTTACCTTGCAATTTTCAGATACATTTTATTTAAATTTAACACTCATAAACTTTCCAATTTCTATTCATTTTTTTCTTTTTTCTTATATCTTATTTTTTCAGAATTAATTTTTTTGGATCATTTATTCTGTGAAAAAAATCAAAATAAACATTCAAACTTAACCTACAGTTTTATTTATTAACAGTTTCTATAAAAAAAAAATTGAGAATCGACAACTTCATACTTAACAATTTCTTTTCTAAAAACTTTTGGTCGATTACGGTAGACCGTAATTGACAAATATTTTTACATTATCTTTGCAATAAACTATTTTTTCTTGAAGCACATTCACAGGATGTTAAATGGCACATGCGAAAATATATGCAAGTACTTTTCAAATACTTTTTTTGATTTTCGTGGAGTATCACTCGAATTACGGTCGTTTTCAAATTTTGCACGCATGTGTTTTATGTTATTTAAATTACAACAGTTTTTTGAAGACACGAGGCACATCAATTTACTATACGGAAAAAAAAAGTTCACGAATCTCTCGTGAACTAGTATATCACTTTTGGATGGGACACAAAATTTCAAAATTTTCATTCACTTTTGATTAGAAATGGCGAACGTCAACGAAAAACTGAAACAAAGTTAAAGAATTTTTGATGAACTGTTAAGGAAGAGTAGTTCGTCAAAAGTAGGGGTACAAGTTCACGAAAAAATCGTTAACTCGCGAGTGTCAGTAGTATGCGCAGTTCGTAATGCGCATCAAATATGGCTGATCAAGCATTCATCATTCAGTCGGTTTCATCGGTGTTTACATTCGGGAAAATTCTTTGATGAAAGTTATTATTTAGAATCAGTGTTTTTTATTACTTAGTGAATATTTTTGTTTGCTAATTTC